CAATAAAATTCAGTGTACAGTTATCCATTGTGTTACAAGGTCAAGACATCTGAAACACAAAAAATGTCATTCTGGTACAATTAAACCTCAAATACATCATTTAGTAATAGGTCATATTATTTCTTTGAAAAGCACAACACGAGTTACATACATGATTCAAAAATTAGAAACTAAATGCAATACATTCTAAACATTCAACTGACTAAAATGTTTTCATTTATTGCTCAAATAATATGATTAATGATGCCTCGACTAGGATGAAAGTGCAATAATTGTCATAAATTAAGCAAGATGAGCACTATGCATCTATGTGAAAGGAGTCAAGTATCAATGGGAAAGGGTGAGTACCACGGAGGTTCAGCATAAATAAGCACGGAGAAAAAACATGCTTAAAACAATCAGTTTTAAGTCCACCCCTCCTTGTGTAAGTCTACCATTGCCCAACCAGGATTAAAATGATAAATCCTAATTAAAGATATCCAAAATAAAATATTTCAAGTACTCTTTCTAATTTATTCCATAAGCATCATTGACAAAGTCCCTATACCTGAAAAAAACTCAAAGCTAAAAATGACTTCTACATCACAATACATTATGACAAATCATTCATTGCAGATAGAAGTTCAAGTTTGGCACAAGACCAGAAGCTCGCAAAGAGGAGGTATCATCTGAAAAAATTGGATACTAGCAGCAAAATTGCGGCATGGTTTTTATTATTCATATGAGCCCATTTATGATTTAATTTCCGATACAGCCAGTCCTTCCAAAAAATTTAGAAAGTCACATTTGTGGATGAACATTGATAGGGACAGATTTGGCACCGTCCAGCTCCCTTCACCACGTGGACTAAATGACAACAAAAGCACGGAACCAGCAACCATCAATGATGGCACGTCCCAGCCTCTTCACCTCCTAGCTGACATCTCGAGCCATGCATCTATGGCTGACAACACTCTGCATTGATGACTGATAGCAAGCCACCCACATTAACTCCTTCGCCGCATAGGGCACGCCCTCATTAACACCTCTACCACCTTGGCTAATGCAGGGGAAGAGTGCACAACACCCAGGTATAAGAGCCACACCCCATGCCAAGCCACAGGGGAGGACCAACAGGCAACCTTCTCTCGATCCTTTACTCTCTCATTTTTACACAGCTCGTACTGTTTTCTTTCGTCCCCTCTGCCTTGTACTGACTTAAGCATCGGAGGGGTCGAGCCGGGAAACCCCCCGGTGCCAACCTATTGTGTAGGATCACTGGCGACCAAGAGACAACCCCGCAGCTTGAAGATGACCCGATAGCCAAGAGAGGACCTCGCGACTGAGTAGATCTCAATTCCTCTACCTGGCCTCACTGCTCCAATGTCAAATAAGCCTTGGCAAACCGCCTCCCTTGTAGACTTTCAACGCGGGTTCACTACATCAGCACTCCCACATCGGCGTGGAGGAGACATAAGGATGAACCTACGCCTTTGGCAGTGAACCAACCGTGCCAATTGGAGCCAACTCACCGGCCGACGGTATTGATGCACAATCAAACGTGACTACTCCTATTTAGCAAGTCAACAAAAACAGGGTCATATTTTTCTCCTGACTCCCCATAATTAAAAATAGAGCTGTGTCCTTCACTCAGCTCACTTGCCAACTTTCCATACGTGGAGGAGTGATAGCAGAGTACCTCTTGTGACTGTATGAATGATCAAGGTTTGAATAGCAATACATTCCATGCATAGATGAACTAAATATCTGAGACTCCAACATTATATGTACGTCTACCCAATACACTAATGCACTCTAACTAATCAGCATGAGAACTGAACAGGCAAAACACTAGATGCACCAGAAATAATTGGAAAGGAAATACTCATGAAAGAGTAGAATATAAGAGATACACGATGCCGATACATATCTATTCTGGATGCATTTTAGAAACCCCTTATCAAAATTTCCCTCCTGTGATGAGAATCTATCAATCAAACAGCAGCGAGAACAGAACGCCGCTACACGCGAAGAGATGAACATCACCCATCGTCATTGGCGATTCAACAGAATGCAGTAACGATTTGACAATCAAGACAACTACAGGATTCAAGTTCATGCGAAAGAGGAAAGAATATATTCCGATGGACCGAAACGCTGGGTGGATAGGAATTCACCTTCTCCTTTGGTGAGAGTGGATCCAGCGCAGCCCATCCTGATGCGAACCAAAATCTAGTCGATTGCGATCGGGGAGAGAGAGGGTAGAAATCAGACCATCGGGACCCTGAGTCGTAATGGGAAGGAGGAGCGTAGATCGTGGTGGTCGGCGCCTCGGGCTCCGTCGAGGATCTCGAGATGGGAAGGGGAGGGGGCGGTGGCGAAGCTTCCGCCTTGAGGTCAAAAGCCGCGTGCGATAAAACGAGACGGCAAAATAATGGGGCTAATTATCTCCGTCACTGGAATTAAGATTTATATTAATTTAGAAAAATAAATATTTAATCTTATTTATCGTAATATCACCGATTTATTAACAAAGGATATAACACGTATGAGAATATTGTTAAGGACGATAGATAAAAAAATAATTTTAATTTTTTAATTATATCTTAATTAAAATTTATTAGTCGATTCTTGTGGTAGTGACGGACGATAATACCATCGGGGGCCGTGAGTGGCTGTTATGGTAGTGGCCTACCTTGTCTAAATGGATCTAAACATTGATGACTGAGGTGAGGGTGGGCATCCGCAGTAGCGACGACGATTTGATGATGGTGGTGTGATGTCTTTGGAAATGGGTGGGGTGAAGTCTTTGGAGGTGGAGTTGAAAGAATTTTGTAACCTCTTGTGAAAAGAGGAGGAAGAAGAAGAAGAAGACGGAGAGCGACGGTAGGAGATGAGATAAAGGGAGAGGGAGAGGAAGAGGAAGAGGACAATGGCCATGCCAACACAGATGTCATCGTCCTTGTCCTCTTCCTCCTCTCCCTTGGGCTCATCTCTCGCTATCACACTCTCTCTCCTTCCTCCTCCTCCTCCCCTTGCAAGAAGTCGCAAAAGTTTCTCAACTCTACTTCCAGGACTCCACCTCATTTGTCTCCAAGGACATCCATAAGATCCACCACCACAGTTATCAAATCCATTATCGCTACCATGGTAGTTGTTGTTGATGATGTTTGAATCCACATCGGCAAAGTCGAATACCATGTCATTCTCATCAACTACTATCACAACAACCACCCGCGACTCGACAGTGTAGTCAGCCACCACCATAATAATTAACTAAGAAGTTTTAATTAAGATATAACAAAAGAAAATATAATTGGATGTTGAAAATATTTTTTTTTTATCATTTTCATATCATTCCTGTACATGCTCTCATATACTATATCTTTCGCGATAAAACCAATAATGTGAAGGTAAATAAGGTTAAATATTTTACTTTCATAACTATAAAATTTTTATTATAAATTTATTAAGTCTAAAGATCGGAATACCATAAAGTCTAACAACAATGGGTAATTTATAATTAACCCCAAACGTATGACTTCACGTGGTTGGTTATTAACTCCTTTACATATCATATAGTAGTCATAACGATAAGAATATGTCCTAAGTCATTAGATTTTATAAACATATATACAAAAAATAAATAAATTTATCATAATCTATTTTACCTAAACTAAGAGATAAATAAAAAATAGTATTAAGAAAAAATATCGTTGACGTCCTGATCAATCTAACATAGTCTATACCTGTCTGTGTAGGATTGTCCAAAGAATCCCTATGGTAGAAATCGAGATCGAGAAGGGTTTTCCGACCTAATCTCTCAAATACTCAAGTTAGTAATTTGAGATCCCCAAAAGTGGATTTGAGTGATTCAAAGAAAGAGAAGAGCTTTCCTCTATTTGAAATATATTTGTATACCTTAATGGATTAGAAGACTTAATCTTCCTTGTCATAAAAGAATAAAAGTAAGCTTATGATTATTTTTTTTGTCATAATAAATGTAACTATCAAATAATAAATTTGAATAAAATATGTAAATTTCTCTTTTTTATTCATATAATTTTATGATAAAAAATTCGATATCATACCGAGTGATAGGAGAAATATTAATCATAATCATAACTCAACACATAGTTAGCAAGGGGAGGACGAGACTCAATCAATGTAACTAGGTATACATCTAAAAGCTCATACCATTATACTCGAGGTCATTTATTATTTTATTCAAAATATAAATTTTTTAATTATTTTGTTATCGAGCAGATTATGTCAGAAATCTTAACCTCATCCAATCTTGATCTTTCTATAAGTCGACATCCAAACAAACATTTGGGATTATTTTGTTTTAATTTAATAATCAATTGATTATCCAATCAAATCGAACTGGATTCATCAATTAAAACTATTGAATATATATCAAAAGTATCTCTATATATTTAAAATTATAAGGAAAATGGAGGAGGTAAAAGTGCTCGGTGGGTATAAACACATGAAAAAGAAAAAAACTCTAATATAATTTTAGCTTGCGTTCCAATCTATATGTGACATTTTACATCAAACATTTATAGACATATACATATACTGCATGTGATCTGCATTTATAGACAATCAAACATTTACAAGTAGATTACTCACTAAGAAAAGGCTTACCCTTTAGTAGAGGCAGTAGAAGAGAACATTAACAGGCCAAAAACCACAAGCACAGCAACAACGACATGCCTATCTCAGGAGGTTCTCTCTTTTCTTGGTGCCCTTCTGCATGGCAATGCACGTCGTCGTTGTTATCCATGTCCTGCGGGAGCAGTCCTTGCTTCTTCCTTCTTGGACCTGTTTGAACAAGCACAGAACCGTCCGTGTGCAGAGACGCAAACAATGAACCAAAATAATAACATCAAACACTTGTGTTATTGCTAAAACTTAGCTGCATCGAAAAAGATCTCCAGCACCACAAGAGTTTCGAAATGGCAGAAGAAATCATATCAATAGTGATATCTACTTCATAACTGGTTCTACTTGGATCTAAGAACAGAGCTCCCATTTAGAGTTGAAATGGAAACAATTAGGAAGGCCTGAAAGCATTCGGTGTCTTCAGCTCAGTTTGTGGACGTGAATGCTAACGAAGCTACCACCCATCCGAACAAGTGCAACCAATCCGGATTAATCCTGTTGGTTCTCCGTGAAAGAGAGCTGATGGATCGGTCATTGTGATGTTTCGGTTCTGTTCTCGGCGAGCGTGGGTGGTGGTCCGGGGATCTCCTCGGGGAAGGAGGTTGTTTCAGAGGATTCAGCGAGTGCTCCGAGCATGCTTACCACGTCGGTGGTGTCATCCAGATAGTACTTGGCCTTGCTTGGCTTCTGCCCCACCGTGCAAGCAAACAACGATGTGTGGGGGGCGACCAGGTTCCTCGTCATGATGCCGGCAATGCCTTCGAACATGTCCTCGTCCGACCTGTCATCCCCGATGCACAACACAAAGTCCGCTTGTCTCCCGTCCTCCATCATCGACGACAAGATCTTCTCTGCCACCAAGCCTTTACTGACTCCCTACGTATGGAAATGCAACAGGAGGAGACACATGCATCATCAAAACAGGAAAAGGGATGCTGATCGATGCTCTACGGTGTGTCTGCAACGGGATTATGCTCGTGGAAATGAGATATGAACTGTTGGGTTGGGTCACGAACATGTATCCGAGGAATGCATTGCTTACAGAAGGGTGTAGTTGATTGACAAAGAAGAAGTGGAGAGTCGATGCTTACCTGAGGTTTCACTTCGACGATGAACTGACCACTCTTCACCAAGACTGGTTCGTTTGCCAACACACTCTCGAGATGGTCGAGCATTTCCTTAGCCTGAGCAGATCCGAAGCCAGGGTCAGCGTATTGATGGTGCCACACCAAAGCACTTTCCTTGGTCTCCATATATGATCCATCCGTGGCTTCCGTGTATAGTTTCATCACTGGCTCGGCCATTTGCATCCACCCGAAGTCTGTGCTCTGGCTACAGGCTTCCCATTCGTTGTCTCTGGTCCATCTGCAATCAAATCCAAAAGTAATGGTCACAGAAGCAGCAGTAGCAGCAGCAAGTGTTGCAGCCAAGAGATACAGAGAAGAACGTAAGAACAACCACTGCACGTCCACATTCTCCATCATCGATCACATCCGATAGACAACGACATATCTCTCATTAACCATATTTTAGGACACATATCACCATATTGTTTGGAGTGCCGAGGGTAAAGCCACCCTCCTCGTATCCTCCAATGTTCTGGCCTGACATCTAAATTGGTGAGGAACCTGCGACTCAAATGTTCTGGCCTGCGTAGCATACGAAATTGGAACTAGAACAGGAAAACAAGCAAGAAGAAGAAGAGCAAACCTCATGAAGAAGCCATGCTCAGCTGCAATCCCAAGCTTTTTGCACCGAGAGAACCATTTGCCTAAGCTGTCCCGCCCTCTTCCACTGACAACGAAGATTACGTTCTTTTTATCGGCACAGAGTGCATTGATGATCCTTATAATCTCGGCGCTGGGTTGCTTGTTGATGGATGTCTGGGGAACCAACGTGCCGTCGTAGTCCACAAATATTGCCCTACTCCTTGCCTTGTCGTAGGCGGACACGATGCCATCCACGCTGAGCTTCCTGAAATTGGGATCGAGAGCCACCACCCTGAATCCAAACCCCAGACCGATCCCCCAGCATCTCCTCCTGAAGTGATCCTTGCAGGTCCTCTCCAAATCATGCAGAAAGCTCTTGGACCAGAAGCTGACGTCGTGGGTGCTGACATACTTGTAGTGCTTATCGTGCCGCAGCTGCTTCTCCGAGTCGGAGACCGCGATGGCCTCGTTCATCGCCTCGCCCGTGGTCTCGAAGTTCCACGGGTTGACGCGAATGGCACCGCTCAGCGACGGGGAGCAACCGATGAACTCGGAGACCACCAGCATGCTCTTCCTTGGGCACTCTGCCATGGAACTCGAATCAGCACCAGAGATGCCCTGTCTGCAGACAATGTACTCGTAGGGAGTGAGGTTCATGCCATCCCTGACCGCCGTGACCACCACGCACTCGGCAATGGTGTAGAACGCGATCCTCTCGACGAGGGGAACAGGGCGGTCGATGAACACAACCGGACTGTACCCCTTATTCCCGAAAGCCTTGTTAATTCTCTCGCAGCTCTGCACTATCTCCTCCTGTATGTTCTCGACGTCCTTCCCTCGGCCGCGTGCGGGGTTGGCGATCTGGACCAGGACCGCCCGCCCTTGCCACTCGGGGTGCAACTTCAGCATATGCTCGAATGCGAGCAACTTCAGATTAATCCCCTTGAAGACATCCATGTCGTCGACCCCCAGAAGCACGGTCTTGCCCTCGAACTGCCGCCGGAGCTCCTCGACCCGCTGCTCCTTATCGGGCAGGCGGAGCACGGACTGCAGCTGGCCCATGTGGACGCCGACGGGCATGATCTTGATGCCGACGGTGCGGCCGAAGTAGTCTAGGCCGATGTAGCCCCGCTTGGACTGATACTCGAGGCCGAGCATGCGGCTGCAGCACGAGAGGAAGTGGCGTGCGTAGTCGAAGGTGTGGAAGCCGATGAGGTCGCAGTTGAGAAGGGCCTTGAGGATCTGCTCGCGGACGGGGAGAGTGCGGTAGATCTCCGAGGAGGGGAAGGGGCTGTGGAGGAAGAAGCCCATGCGGAGGCGGTTGAAGCGGCGGCGGAGGAAGGTGGGGAGGGCCATAAGGTGGTAGTCGTGGATCCAGATGTAGTCGTCCTCGGGGTTGATCACCTCGATGATCCGCTGTGAGAAGAGTTTGTTGGCTAGGACGTAAGACTCCCAGAGGGCGCGGTCGAAGCGGCCGCCTGCGCGGTGCTCGGAGGAGGAAAAGGGGAGCATGTAGTGGAAGAGAGGCCACAGCGCCTGCTTGCAGTAGCCGTGGTAGAACCGCTCGTTGACGTCGGCAGGGAGGAAGGCCGGCACGCACCGGAACCGCTCGAGGAGGGCCTGTGCGACCTCGTCCTGTTCTCGGGGGTCGACGTGCACGCGGAGGGAGCCGACGTAGAGGACCTCCATGTCGTCCGGGAGGCCGCCCTTAAGCTGGAGGAGCAGAGAGTCATCGTCCCAGGCGAAGGACCAGCCGTGGCCGTCGGGACGACGGCGGGCGCGGACAGGAAGCTGATTAGCGACGATGATGACGCGGTCCTGGGCGATGGAGGAGGGCACGTCGGAGGAAACGCTGATAGCGCGGTCGTCGTCCTCATCGAGCCCAGAGAGCGAGCCGGGGACCGTCATGGTGCGCGACATCCGCCGCGACCGGCCGCCGAGGCTGAGCGCCGAGAAGTTCCCCGACGCGAGGTCGAGGAGGTTGGTGTACGATCTGGACATCATCTTGGCCCGTCCGCCCGCCCACTCACGCTCGCTGCCGGCCCGGCCCAACAGATCGGATCAGTAACCGCTCGTTCCAATCCTTCAATGCCAATCTAATAAACGACAGATTCTTGGAGGATGGGTAGGAATTCATACCTCGACGGATAGAAGAAGACGACGACGACGACAAGAAGAAACCGACGTCGTATCCAATCGACGATACACGGGAGAGCCTTCGCTCTACTCACTTCTTTTCGGCCACTGTTGACGTACAAGGAAGGGAGGAAAAGATACGCAAATTGGAGTGGATGATGTGTGGTGATCTGATGGAGATTACCTGCCGAAATTTCGCTTTAAGGGAAGGGAAGAAAAAAAAAAGGAAAAAGGAAAAAAAAGAAAGAAGAAAAAGGTAACATTACGGAAAGGAAGGAGGAGACGCGTTGGTCCTATGGGAAGAGAGAGGTAGCGATCCCGGAGATAAGGCAGGCGAAGACACGCGTTTGGGGCGTTGTCGATCCGAGTCTACAGCTCAATGTGGCGTTCGTTAACGCACGCCACTCCCCGGTGCGCTGTACCGGAGTTTAATTAGTTATCGCAGTATATATATATATATATACGTGCTGTGCGAGTGGGGAGCAGCAGATTAAGTGAGGGAAGGCGCAGTGGCCCCGAGCACGCCATGGCTGGCAGGGCTCAGGAGGAGGAAGTACCAGTTGTGCCGGATCCCCACGTGAGCTATTCCTACCCCCGTCGTCCCCATCTCCCTCTCTTTATACACACCGTCAGAGCTCTGATGCACTCCCGGTCGCCGTTTCTTTTCCTTTACAGATGCATGTTTCGTGACATGCGATGTAATGTGGTAATAAACAAGGGAGAGAGAAGGGTGGGGGGGGGGAAGTCCACAACGCTTGCCTCTCCCACTGTCATGGACAGTAGCAGTGTTGCCACTATAATGAGAGTGGAACAACTCCATTTTTACTGGCTTGGAAGCTTGGCTATGAACAGAGACTGCACTGGGGTAATGTATTGCTAAAGAGGAGCAAGCTTTGCCTTGTCATCTCATTATATGTACTTTGGAAACGCATCGCAGTCGTAATTGTTGTTCTACAGTCGCATCAGTACCAGATTGCAGGCGTCTGCTCGTGCATTTGATCCAATCTGAAGTCATTCTCCCTCATGGAATAAGGCGTGCAGTGTTCGCCTGCAGCCCTGCTGGTGCAGGCGCGCCTGCTGCGTTGACACTTCTTCTCCGCACCCATTCGTTTCAGAAGTAATATTAAAGCGAGACGTCAGGGCCTCTGCTTCCCAAAGTTGTACTGCGACGAAGACATCGAGCTCTTCCTTTCCGTGTTGTTTAGAGTTTGTGCTGTCTTCTTCGCCGGCCTCGATTGGATATATACAAGACAAGAACACATGCATGGAGTCGGAGACATCAAAGACGAGGCGTCAAAGTAGCATTTGCATTTAGACTACTCTGCGCCATGTTTGGAAAAGATGAGACAGATCCTACACATTCTCAGTTCGTAGCCGTGGATCACTTGGTCTTGGCAGGGGTCCAACCTTTTCCCAGCCTTGTAGAAGAATGGTGTGATCTAAGGCTGGATCGATGTACCTTCAACATCTTTCGAGTGATGGTGAACAACTGGCGCAAAGAGACAGCGTAAATTCTAACTCGGTAACTCGTCACTTCCGATCGATCGACCTCCTACCTGGCGTTACGACAACTCCAAAAGATCAGAAAGTGTTTTGGCTTTCAATTGTTCCTCCAAGCTTGCACAAAGTTCTTTTTGGCTTTTAGCTGAATTAAGATGTCGAAAACTAAATTAAAGCAGCAAAGCCCACAGTTGTGGCAGAAAAAACAGTAGTAGTGAGTAGATCGTAAATCGAAGCTGAGGAAATCGGTGGAGTCAGATTTCAGAGATTGCTACCACATCTCACGATAACGCCTCTACAGAGAGAGCTTTCCCAAAGGATCGCCTCCGCTAAAGAACGAGCAGTCCATCAATACTGTAACGTTCGAGTATCGATAGATTACGAAGAAGATCGTATTGCCACTTGAGAAACAGAAGAAAAAGAAGAAGCGGCAGTTGAAAAGTATACAGAGCAATCGACTTCCTCGAGAGTATAGAATGTCACCACATCCAGAAAACTAAAAGACACATAAGTCGATAGTAGAAGACGCAGAGCAGAAATGGAGCTCCAGCTGACTCGTCCAATGGCTTCGGCATGGAAGAAGAGTTATCCATGTTATCTCCACATGCAACGACACCGGCATCAATGCTCCTAAGGCTCTCGGACCCATTGTAGCAAAGGCCTGAGTTCCCCCTCAAGTCCAGGTTATTTCCAAGCCTATCGAGAAAGCCGACACCGAAGGGAACGATTCCGCTCAATAGATTCCTACTCAAGTTGAGGTGGTACAACTTCCCGAGGGCACTCAAACCAGCAGGAATCCCACCTGTGAGCCTGTTCTTCTCGAGGGAGAGAGTGGTGAGATTAGTTAGCCAAGCGAAGCTCCCTGGTATGGAACCTGTGTAACCTGAATTGGCGAGACGAAGCTCTTGAAGCGAAGCTAGCAGGCCGAGCTGCGATGGCAGGGTCACGAACATTGGGTTGTCGTCCATTATGAAGTACTGGAGGTCTTGGAGCTTGTCTATGCCTCGTGGGAAATCTCCACTGAGCTTGTTGTCGCTGAGAGCCAAGAAAACAAGGAAGCTGAGGCTCCCTAGGTTCTCAGGAATGCTTCCGACCAGTGAATTGGAGCTCAGATCAAGCTTCTGAAGAAGGCCTAACTGTCCGATGGACGGCGGGATAGTTCCACTTAGGTAATTATAGCTCATGTCAAGTCCTATCAGGCCCTTCAGTCTGCCTATGTGGCTTGGAATGCTGCCTGTGAGGGTGTTGTAGCTGAGATCGAGATGGACGAGGGAGGTTAGCTCGGAGATGCTGGCAGGAATTGCACCGCTGAGTTGGTTCTGTGAGAGTGTGAGGACTTGAAGGGATGTGAGAGAGGAGATGTGGGATGGAATAGCACCGACGAGGGATGGGTTTGATTTCAGACTCAGCTGTAGCAGAGAAGCATATGCGGCCGCTTTGTCATCAGCGGGGGGTGGAAGGGAGAGGTTGGTCTCGGCACCCTTGAAGCAGTCGAAGAAGAAGATGGATTGGAGGCAAGGAAGACGAAAGACCTCAGAGGGGAAGGTGGCATTCCTCCTGCAGGCTGGGTTCGGCACAGCACCGAAGTCCAGCCTTGTGACATGGAGCAGGTTGTCCGAGCCTGGCTTGCATTCAATCCCGGGCCATGAGGAGCCTGGCACGCACGGGTCAGGGTTGGAGGACCTCCAGTCCCTATCAGAGGACATGGTCTCCATCACGATGAACAGGGTGTCCCTCTCGAGCGGGTCCATGGTCATGGACTGCAGCACCGGGTCACTGGCGCTCCGGTTGTTCCCCTGCACGGCGGCGGACGCAGAGGTGCATGGAGGAAAGAAGGGCAGAAGCGGGAGCAGGGACAGCAGAGGAAGGGGCGACATTGCCGTAGCTGGAGAAGTGGGAAGCTCAAGTGGGGATGGAGCAAAGGTCTTTGACCCAGTGTGCCGGGATGGATTCCCATGGAGCAGGCGACGGGTGAGAATGATATAACTCCATAGCCGGTGAGAGGAAGAAGATAAAAAGCTGTGTTGTGTGGGTTTGATGCGACTGATAGGATGGGTTGGTGGGGTCCGCATGCTGCGTGTGAATTGTCAGACCATGTGGGGGTCAACAAAGATCGAAAAGTAGATTCTTTGGGTCGTGGACTGCGGTTTCATCGCTCGTGCAGGCCGGGCTGAGACGACCCATCACCACCAAGTTAACGTTTTGCAAACCTTCTTCTTTCTTTTGGTGCGACAGCTTTACATCGAGGAGATAATGGCATCCCATGGCTTTGGCTGCATGCTTGCACTCGAGACAAACGCTCGTAACAGTCGAAAGCGGTCCATCGGAGAAAGAGAGCAGAGCTTTAGACTCTGCCACCAGTGGTGGATGTGACTGCACGCAGCTGGGCCTGAGAAGGTATCAGAATTGTGAAGCTGCCGCATCGACGAAGGCACAGGGAGCCGCAGCTGCTTCCCTGTGCTCGGAACAGTGGGTCGTATGTGAAGGATTAATCTGAGACTCGTCTCCTCGAATCAAACAAGGGAAACCCCTACCCCAACCATTTTAGGATTTCGCAGAGGGTGGGTCGCCCGTAGCAGATCTCACGGTGCATCAGCAAGAAGACGATGAGAGCCGAACTCCTCTCTCCATCCTCTTCTGCCAGACGCACTCACAGTGCAGTGAATGTGCTGGCTCTTTGTACGCCCGCGGTTGACTGCCGACACCCTTGCTTCAACTCTTTGCTCTCTTTGGATAAGAAATGGAATGGAATTCCATTCCATTCAGAGTCACAAGCCGGAGTGGTCCGATCTGCAAAGTTCAAAAGATGATGACAACTACTCCGATCCGACCTTAGTGTCATGCTCATAATATTCAAGAACGCTATGATGGCATCTAAATTTCTCCTCGACGAAGGCAAAGACTGCCCCCCATTTCTCACTTTTAGTCCTCTGTACCTTCTTCGTGTGCATAAGCTCGCACATTATTACTGGTCATGAGCTTTCAAAGGACATCTATGTAATTGAGATGGTACAGTAAAGCCACTCTCATTTCAGGGCAACGCATGAAGCTGCACTGCAACATGAAGCTATAACTCGGATCAAAGGTGCCGTGTCTCGAGCGTGAGCTGCTGCATCAGCCCCGCCGAGATGCTGTGGATCATCGAGGTATTGATTACATGGACAGCATTACTGTTCGGCTTCGAAGTAAAAGAATGGACAGCTTCTCTGACGCCCTTGTCACCTCAAAGGGACCCCGGAAGACTGGCGATGAACAGTGTCAATAGCTGTCACAAAACTAGTACATATAATTTGTACAGATGAAGAAAATTATAGGTTGCAGTGTCAAACTACGATGGATGAAATCAAGAGAGGAGAAATATAGAACATGTAGTTTTTTATAATCGCAGTTATAAATATCCGAGACAAAAAGTTAACTAGAGATTATATTTATGTAAGTGGATGAGTGATTAATTATTGTAGAAACTTTATCGAAAAAGCTTTGTTGAAGGAGTAAAAATACTTAAATACGTTAACATATCCTTTCTTATTTATACAGATTTCCTCGTATAGTTGAAGAAATAGTGCTCCTATCAAGCGAGAGTCGTGAGTAGAGCAAGAGTAGATCATTGTTGCTACTGCGATTGTTGTTGTTGTGAGGGCACAGACGTTCCTTTCGTTCCCCTTATATCCGCAAGAGATTTTCTCGTATAATTGGAGAAATCTTATCTTTTAATATTAAATTATTATTATATGTAACACTTAATCTTTTTATTACTACTATAATTTTTTTATCTTTTAATATTAACTTATTATTAATAAATATATTTACTTATATCTGATGTTCCATTAAGTAAAAATATTATTTTTTAAATAGAAGGATAAGAGAAATCAGGATATATATGATATAGGATCATTTCCTTCAGATTTTATGGTGTCTATGTCTCATCAATTAAAAATTATGACCACCAGTTAGAGAATAAATAAGATGATGAAATTAGACAACTAAAAGAAAATTATGAACAAAATACTTAAGTTAGAATAAGAAGGATGAAGAAATTTGATAATTAATAGAAATTCTTGAAGAAAAAACAATACTCATGATATAAAGGAAATACCAAATTGTAAATACTTATGGATGAAAGAGCTTCTCAAACAGATAATATAGGTAAAAAATTTAGAAACTTCTTTTATCATATGATTCTATATTTATATATTTGTTTCTAATAATAATTATTATTTACTGTATATAGACCCCTGACTTTAGAGAAGCACCGTAAAGGATTTTGTCTATTGGTGCTATGATTTTTATATAAATTGATTTGGTTATTGAAAGAATTTTGTCTTCCTTTTTTTGAAATGTGAGCTATCATTATGGTTAATATATCATAGTATACAGGTATACTGTTATATATATATATGTATATATGTAATTAAATGATAATAAAAACATGTGAATTATTATTGTGGATGTTACTTTCAAGATAAAAGTATATTAATTATTGTAGTTGGATAATTATAGCAATAGTAAACTATCACTATGGCTGTCTATTGTAGGATAAAAATATCTATCATTATAGTTGAATAATCACAGTAATAGCTAAACAATTACTATGATTTTATTTTTCAGGGTAAAATTATCTAAATTTTTTTTCCATAAAATAAAATTATTTATTACTGTAATTATGGAACCATAGTGATACATGAACTATTTTTATGATTATCATTTGTTGAGAAAGAAGTGATTGAATTACTACAGCAATATATAGATCTTTACATATTATTATAAAAATCATAATTAAATATTTATGATGGTATGTAGTGTCATTATTTTCAATCATAATAATAAAGTTTGCTATAGATAAAAGAATAATAAATAAATAAATAAATAAATAAAAACCTTGCTTACAAATAAAGTTTGTTATAGTGGATATATATGACCATAAGAGAGTTGGGCTGGACGGATCGGATCCATGACACGGGACCCATTAAAGGGTCGATCGATTGGGCGACGAAGGCTGAAACCCTAACGTCTCCCGCAGCTCTTCGGTGCGCCTTCCTTCGTGTCGCCTCTCGCTGGTACGCGCAGTTTCCACCATCCCGTTGGTTTCAATTTGGTGCAATGTTTTCTGTTTTTCTTGAGTTTAATTTTCGCCGGTGGTCTTGGAATCGGCAGGATGATCTGTATGCATGGTTTTGTTTGGAGGACGCGAGCAGTAATCCTGACGCAAAGAGTGCAGAAGATCTGCTGAAGATGAAGATAATGGAGCAGGTGAGAGATAGAGAATTAATGTAGTCATTTTACAAGTAGCACATGGTTTTTTTTGGGTCGTAATTTGGTGCCATTTTTAGTGGTATTCTAAGTAAAATTGTATGTGATTGATGCAAAATGATTTCTCATAGAAGACGAACGGAGATGAGGCGAGGCCCGATCGCCATTTTTAGTGTTATTCTAAGTAAAATCGCGCGACCCTACAACCCTAGATCGGTGGTGGGCCTCCCCATTCCGACGGTGCCGCACTCTCTCTCAGCGGTGTGTATTTCTTAGTGCTGATCCTTTCTTTAGCAGGCTTCTTCTTTGTAATCTTTTGCTCTTATTTTAATTTCGGTTTTGTTATACACCTCTGATGTTGTCGGGGTGCTTAACCTGTTGATCAGTCCTTGTGCATAAGAACCTTCGAATCATCACATGGAAGATCCTCTGTTCATGGTTCTGATATCTATCAATATCTCATTTATACTTGCACATAAAAATTATGATCATTATTCTTACACTTAGGACATACATAAAATTCAATGTGCACTTGCCGGATGATGTTGGGAAATTGCGCAAGGGCTTTGAGCACAGCATGACATTGCAAGTTGCAATGAGATAATCTCAAGATCTTCCCTCCTGATGGCAGTTATTATTGGGAGATTGAAAATATTGTTTTTTATTTATTTTCCTTTTCTTTTGATGTTCGCTTCTGTTCTCTGGGTTCACGTAGGTTGAATTTGGAGATGCCTTTGAAAGCTTCCATTCTCGATTTACCAAAAGCTTTTTCCTTTAGAGAGATGACGAGAATTGGTCTTAATATGTGAAGCTCTTTCTAGTTTTAATGCTCATTTATATTTTGGTGCCAACTTTTACACCTCATTTTGAGGCTTTTTAAGATAATTTGATTATTATTGTTTTAGTATTTTAAGTGGGAATGAGGCTAGTGTGAACCCTTTTGTCTCTCATCTGGAGGCTTTCTTTCCTCTTCTATGCTATATGGATTACATGACACAAGTGAGCCTTTCTGAAGCTTCTGCAAAGATCCTCTTCTAGTAGAGGTTGCATATTAACAATTTCTACTGGTAGCAAATTGACTTAGAAATCTGGTGAATGTGCTTATGACGTGTTGCTCAGTCTCTGCTCATGGTTCTGAGATGATCCATCAATATCACAGCTGAAATTGCAAATAAAAATTGTATTTACAATTATGTTATATAAAATTGAATGTGCACTTGCAGTTGGCGCATGCCTCTTACGGCTTTTGCGTATTATTCTGATAGTCACCATGACTAACAATTCCCATAGTGCTTATGATATCTTTGTAGTTTCGATTGAAAGTTTTT